GTGGAAACAGGTAGTAGCCACTGATTTACCTTTATCCTACTGACCACTAACTCATGATTCTAGAGGCAGACCCCACACTTCTGACCCCAAATCATGACTGAGTGGCCAGTAAGATCAGGGTAAAAGAGGAAGAAGAAAAACAAACAAACAAACAAAAAAACACCATAGCCGTTAAATATTAAGATTAAATGTATTCAAGATGAATTAAATCAGACACTATTTTTATTGGATATCTGTGTTTGAAATGAACATCCCGTATTTTTAAACAACGTGTATTGTGTCTACCGGCCTGCACACTCGTGTAAACTCAAAAAAGCAAACAGCACATTTTCTTTATTCACTAAAAATAAAGTTTAAAACAATACAAATATCGGATTAAAATTAATCTAATCTAATTCTTTAAACAATTACTTTATTTACGTTTCGGATAGAAAATCGATCAGATGTGGGCTTTCCATATCTCTGAATGAGATGTGTATTATTTAAAAGGTAAATAAAGCCTTGCTGGATTGTGACGCTGTCAGTCTAAATTGTAGGTTTCTCCTACAAAGGCGGACGCAGGTTCGTATCCAACCAGATCGCACATTTTCAGAACAACTAAAACGGATAGCAAATGTTACTCAAAGAGAAATAATGACGTATGTCATGATGTTGGCGTTCCACACGATCTCAAATAATAAGTTAAGATGGAAACACCCCATCAGTAGCTGAAAGAGCGATAACAGTTACTGGACTTGAGACTGAAAAATTGTTTTAACACTTTTTCATTTAAATCGGTATCTCCCCATGGAGTAATGGATAACGGCTCGGATTGAGGAATCGGAGGGCCGAGTTCGAATTCCAGTCGACTCCATTACATTCACTTACGTGCTAATATCATCGGGAAAGGTATGGACCCTCTTTTTCTACACCTCACCCTAGCTATGGGTAAACAGACCTGGTTCTGTAGCCTTGGATGGCAACTGGTCTACCGCAGAAAGAAATGGCAACCTGCTGCGGGAAATAATCTGCCTTGTCAGTCACGTATCAAAAGACACATGATCGCCTAAGCGTGTATCGCGCATGTCACGTAACTGACTGATCCCCACCAAGCAAACACTAAAGACACTAAAACACAAGGGGTGACAGGGTGTGGAAGAATTAGGAACAGAAACATTAATATTGAGCAGAAAGAGAAAAGAGCAACCGGGATTACAGTAGATAGCGATTGACATTACATTTATATTCTTGCAGATTAAAATTGGCTGCAGCCGGAAGCGAGTTCCACGAGCGGGAAATGGGATAAAAGAAACTGTTTGCATAAAATTTACGGTTATTTCTAGCCAGTTCAACTGTAAACTGATGAGATCTAGACGCCAGTTGAGTACTGCGCTTAAATTGATAGGCACCACAGTGAAGAGTATTTATAGAAAAAGCAAAGAAAGGCAACATTACGTCCGTGGGTAAGTGACCGAAACCGAATCACCAGATCAGAACCAATAATATTTCTGATTCTTCTTGGGATCTTATGAAGGAGCTCAAGGTAAATATCACTTGCACCGGACCATATATGGCAGCAATATGCTAAGCATGGACAAATAGTAGACTTATAGATACTTTCTAAAATGCCCAGTGTAAGTTCATGAAGACCACAAAAGATGAAATATCGGCACAGAGGGCAAAGGAAGCGCAAATACTGTTTTCGATATATTGGATTCTTTATTCTTGATACATCTGACACTTTTTATGTTTAAGTAAGTGACACATGGAATATCTTTGCTGCTTTTTAAGCCCCCTCTCACGACAGACTAACAGACCTGATTTTCCCTTCGGCCAAAAAGAACTCTTGTTTCGATATTCCTTAACTATGACTCTGCTTACCAGTATCTGATTATATAAGTCCATGACCGGAATTCACTACCTTCCGGCTAATTTTCATTTGATCACAAAAGTTTTTTTTTTTTTTTTGTTATTTACACATTTTATTTCTTTTCTCTATTCATTAACAGCGGTTGGTTGTTTTGAAACACTCACACATATATTTTACCAGCGACATAGTCGGTAGTCATAAAATTTCTGGATTTTCCAGGCCCATATAGACTCACTTACAGTCGAGTTGAATACGTGAGTTTCCGTAACCAATCGATCGGGAATCTACTGTGACGCAGTTATTCCAGCTAAAAGTTACTAAAAATAACAAAATGCCAAGTCATAAATGGAACGATCGAACATGAGTGACAAGTACTTCTTTTAAAATATATCCATCTCAAGGCCGCCTTTTAAAAGATGACCATAAAGAAAATTGAATAAAAAGGGCAACAGAATTTATGAAGACCATTTTTATCGTTGTGGCTCTCATTGTTCTCCACAATTTCCTGTCTTTTGTAGCTTTTAATAATGTCTGTATTTTTATATCATTCCTAAACCTTGTTCGGCCATCCGCTTACTTAAGCTCGCTAAGTAGGTTATGCTTTATTTTCCTCTATTTCAATTAACTTCATTTTTTTCCTGTGAGTATCAAATTTTCCAATCTCTCTATCATCATTATGTGTCCTTAAAATTTCAACTGTATGTTCCTGGTATTAATTATAAGCGACCTTTTTGTTTCCATTCTCTATAAAGGTACTTCGTTGTTCACATATTCCATCCAAGGTATCCTTAGTATCCTTCTGTAGAATCACATCTTTGCTGCTTCAAGTTTCTTCAGCATCTGTAAAAGGATTGCCCAGCATATAGGAGGACTGATATTACATAAGAGTTCAGTAGACTTTTCTTTGTTTCTGTTGCTTCAAGTCTCTTCTTCATCTGTAAGGAGATTGTCTAGCATTCACTGCCATATAAAAGGACTGTAATTACGTAAGAGTTTAGTAAACTTTTCTTTGTTTGCGTTGCTTCAAGTCTTTTCCATCTTGTTTGCGTTGCTTGTTAAGTCTCTTTTGTTTGTGTTGCTCCATCTGTCTGTGGAGATTGTCCAACATTCAGTGCCATATAGGAGAACTGATATTGCATAACAATTCAGTACTCGTTTCTTTATTTCTAACGAAATCTTTCTTTTTCTCAAATACACTGCTTAGGTTGAGACATTAACAACCGGAAGTGATATGATGCTTTGGGATGCCGCTATAATTGGAGATACCTAGCAAGTTCCAAGTGGTGTTAAGATGACAGTTCAGATATTGACTTTGTGAAAGCACACGTGGAAATGTGGTTCAAGAAGAATCCAATCGCTTTCAGAAAGAAGACGGTTATTTAGAAAACTTATGAACATCTAAATAAAAATGGGTTTCAAATATAAAATGATTGTCTTATTTGCCCGACCACATTGAAAATTTGTGGTGCATTCGAAAAAGCAAGCTTTAGATTGGCGGACGAAATTTGGATAGTGTACTGGCTATTTCCTATGAATACATCCAATTGTTTATGTTTAAAAATAGTCATAGAACTAATTGGTTGGGTTTGGTCTGTTTTGATTTACGGCATATCGACGTCACTGGGTCATTTGGTCATTTACTGCCGATAAGATTTATATTGCTGATAATATATTTTTCAAAAATTGTATTTCTATTAATATTTTTTTTCAAAAGTGTATTGCTTGTAATTTTTACATTTTTCAAAAATGTACTGCTGGTACTAATTTTTTCCCAAAAAGTATTGCTGGTATCAAAACCTATTTTTATAATTTCATAGTGTTTTGGCACCATTTTTTTTCTTTCGTTGGTGTAACTATTTTTCTATATCTGGGACCCAAACAGGTACTACCACCGGTGTCAGGATGGACCTGGGAAGAGCAGCAATTAAGAGATGGTCCCATGCTCCTCAAAACCACCTGATCAAAGCCTTGCTGCCGGATGTAATTTATCATCATACTCAGGACTTCTTAGAAATAACGTTGATTTTATAAATTTCTAATCATTGCAAAGAAAGCTTTTTTTCACTTTCTTCTTCAGAATATTTCTACTTGTCGACTCTTCACAAATTCTGTAATCAAAAATCTTGATTACAACTTAATGTTTCTTAGAATTTCAATTACTTCAATACGACTTGCAATATACATTCTAATTGTCACTTCCATCTTGCCACATCATAAAAGAGATTATGTAATATATTATAATTTATATGCATGGTATGAAATTAACTGCCAACTAACAGTAACAATATTTCTCTGAAACACTTCATTAGATTTTTAAGCAATTGGAAAAATTAAAGGGGGTAATCATTTGAAACGTAATGAATTTAGGTTTAATATTGATTAAATTAACATAACAAAAGCATACCAAAGCAGAGTGTTGGGATAAAAAGCAACAAAAATAAAGTGGAATAAAACTTTTAATAAAATAAGAAGAATTAAAAATGTTGGGATAAAAGAATAAAACTAGTATTCAATAATAGTAATAATGAAGAGTGGGATAGAGCCAGAGTGTTGGGAAAAAAAAAAATAATAAGATGGAATAAAACTAAAAAATAATAGTAATAATGAAGAGTGTATAGAGCCAGAGTGTTGGGATAAAAATGGAATAAAACAATAAAATAATAGATGGAATAAAACTAAAATAATAAAATAATAGTAATAATGAAGAGTGTATAGAGCCAGAGTGTTGGGATAAAAAGCAACAATAATAAGATGGAATAAAACTAGTAATAAAATAATAGTAATAATGAAGAGTGTATAGAGCCAGGGTGTTGAGATAAAATGCAACAATAATAAGATGGAATAAAACTAGTAATAAAATAATAGTAATAATGAAGAGTGTATAGAGCCAGGGTGTTGAGATAAAATGCAACAATAATAAGATGGAATAAAACTAGTAATAAAATAATAATAATAATAAGGAAGAATGTATAGAGCCAGTGTGTTGGGATACAAAGCAACAATAATAAGATGGAATACAATTAATAAAATGCATATTTTTTATGTTAAATATGAAACAACATGATCAAATAAAAAAAACATATATAGTGGAGAATGCTTCATTTTTCAAATAAATTTGAACTGCTTTGAGATTTCAGTTTTATATGGAGGAATGGGGCGTCATTTTGAAACTATGTTGTTGGCAAGTCCACGTGTCCATATCATGTGCGGTTCACTGAGTTCCTTCCTAGACACGTTCACCTAATCAATAACAATGCCTTCGAAAGAACGGAAGATCCGTGTTTCTCACTGAGTGCCCTATTCACTTCCTTACGGCTGCTGCTTCCTTATAACTTGGTCACGATGGCCAACAGCGGATTTAAAACGATTAAATGAATTTCATTCTTAATTGTATAGTGACGTAATCAAACGATCAATAGTTTCATTTGTTGTTTTCTATTAATTTGGAGATAAATTCCTGGAGTGTATCGTTAAATAACCTAATCAGCAAATTTAAGATGAACATTTGGTTCATTAGTAATAGATAATCGTGTAAAGTGCTCATTGTTCAAAATAACAACACACATACACACAAACATATATATATATATATATATATATATATATATATATATATATATATATATATGGCCTGATGATTGCATCCAGCATGAAACAGACTATCGCCTCTAAGTGTTGACTTCTATGCTCATTATATATATATATATATATATATATATATATATATATATATATATATATATATATATATAAATTACGTATATATTAATATATTTTCTGTTCATAATTTTTCGATACAAATACTTAATTAAATAACCAATAAACAGAATATATATAAAAATAATTGTCGGACTTAGTCCATTTCATAATATATATATATATATATATATATATATATATATATATATATATATATATATATATATATATATAGGAAAAATCTGTGCGTAAATAATCCAAGTGTATCCTAATAATATAAAATTTAAAACTCATCCATAAAGACAGCTCAATGTATTTATTACAGACCATATATAAATAAATTACATATGACTGAAATTCAAAAGATATGCTATTAGAATAGCTATTTCTCCGCAGGAATTAACCTCATAAGATTTGTCAACACCAAGGAGTTTGGTGTTAATTTCTGCTAGGAAAAATAGCTATTTAAATGGCATCTTTGAATTTCAATTATATATATATATATATATATATATATATATATATATATATATATATATATATATATATATATATATATATATATATATGCTGGTCTCCCCATCGTTTTTTCGACGTATGAGAGTCAAACAACTCAGATCCTAGGAATCGACAACTAGACACCTGTACATATGATTTGATTTAAGTGGCAAATGCTTTGTGCAGAACCAACCACACTTTTTGAAGAGCCGAATACAGAGATCTTGTGCACCACGGGCCACAACGTCCCTGAACGACCCTCCGCAGGTTTTTAATTCAGAGTTGCCTTTCTCCTACAACAGTTGCCATCCAAGGCAATAGAACCCAGTCTGTCATGCTATTTATCCATAGCTGGAGGGAGAAGAGTATTCATACCGTTCCCAAGATTATTTGCACGTATGTGAATGTAATGGATTCGACTGGAATTCGGCTTTTTCCGATTCCTCAATCCGAGCCGGTATCCATGACTTCACCGTGTCTCCTCATATATATATATATATATATATATATATATATATATATATATATATAATTATTGTTTATAAAAAAAAAAAATTATAACATAAGTATATATGTATATATATATATATATATATATGAGAAGGCACTTTAAAACTTCTCTCTGTTACATTCTAATCCCCATCTTCACCTTTAGGCCTTTCCTGTTCTTCTTTCTTCTGTTACACCTCTCTCTAGAGCTTTCATACATTTCTCTCTCACACTCCCGGGGTTATATTTACCGATTTCTTTTTTGAATTTGTAGGTCTGATGAATTGGATCGTGATTACGATTCCAATGTAATAAAATATAACTAATTATGTTTATGAGTTATTTTGAAAGTTATTATTTATTTAAGTAAATGCTCTGTATATTTTAAGTTAAACAATATTAATTACATTTACCTTCCTAAATGTTTGAGACATTATGGAAAATATGTGCTTCTCCGAAAGAAATCGAACCTGTAGCCCTTAATGGGAACTATCATTTAATCTGACGTGCTGTTAACCATTCAGCCACCAGGAAGCGTCTTGTTAGCCTTCAACGATTTTTCTCCATCGATTATTTCTGCTCATGAAATGTATTTTAACGTAAACAGTGACAACGTATTATGAAATGGATTAATTCCGACAATTATTTTTAATATTTTTTCCGTTTATACGCTATTTTTATAGATATAAAAAATTAAGTAAATGGTCATCTTTTATTTAATTAAACTGTACACACACATATATATATATATATATATATATATATATATATATATATATATATATATATATATAAGTGTAAGTGCGTAGGTATGCAAAAATGGAAAAGAAACGCGTTGGGGGCATAATAATTCCTTAGTATTTTTTGTTTTATTTTTAAGAAGACAGTGCTCCATACAGAAGTAGAGCTTTATTATAACACCTCAATTCAACTTAATTTTGATAATTATTTGGATGTTTTCGGCTCTCGTTTTTGAAACATGAGAACTCTTATGTAGCGAAGGAATCATATTTTTAAACAAAAATATATATATATATATATATATATATATATATATATATATATATATATATATATATATATATATACCGGGTGTAACAGCGAAATTGCCCAAATCGTTTAACAGTAGAATTATCTATCTCACAAAATATTTAATATCTAAAAACCACTAAGCTAACTGAGTTTATTCTTTAGGTTTTCAGATAAGCGGGTTAGCCATCTTGGCAGCATTTTTCAGTGAAAAACCCTTTGAGTTATTCAGATAGAAATAAAACAAGTTAAAATCATTTTGTGTCAGCCCCACTTTCTTCTCAACTGTGCAATGCTGAGAGGAAAAATATCATTCACGCCTTCGGTAATGGTACCAACATTCATACCCTGGCTTCCATTGTAAAAGCCCATTCAAGAACCATCAAGGGAACGGCGAATAAGTTTAAAAAAAGAGGGAACAGTAGAGAGGGAAACTGGATCAGAAGGTCACAAAAGGAAAAGGGGTCATCAAAGATCTCTCAGTCCCTAAGACGTTTTGCACGTGAAAGAGAAATTTCAGCTATGACTGTACAAAGAACAGTGAAAAATGATTTAAAAATTAAATCGTACGTGAAACGTGTGAGGAATCTTGTTACTTCAGGACAGAAAGTTAGAAGGTTAGAAAGGGCAAAGATCACCTTGGATAAGATGGAAAATGATCCCGGAATAATATATATGTTTGAACTTTATTTTAATACTTGATGAGCTTCCGATGATGAACATGCCATTTCCGTTTAGGATCGATTTCATCACGATTCTTCTGTTAATGAAGTTTCATAAGTTTTCATAAAAAAACTAAGATACAACTGTCCAAAGCTTAATCTGTTACACCGGTGTATATATATATATATATATATATATATATATATATATATATATATATATATATATATATATATATATAAAAAAAAGCACTTTTAAAAGGTAAAACGAAAAATGAATTCATTTTTCGTTTCATTTTTTGGAAGTGCTATCTGATGATCCGGCGTCCTTTAAAAGGGCTCTGGTGAAATAAATTATTATAATGGAACCTTAAAGTGGTCTGTTTTCCTTTAAAATATTAGCTCTGGATTTACATTGAGCTCTCAGGATTTCATCCTCCCTGGGGTTACCCATAAGGATTACCAAGTGTTTTATAATATATATATATATATATATATATATATATATATATATATATATATATTATATATAAATTTGGGGATTTAGGCAAATCGTTATAGTAATTCATCTAGAATAGAAGAATTCTCAACAGTATGTTTCGTCCTATTTTTGGGGACTCATCAGCAGTGCGCATCAACTACGGTGATTCGAACCCGGACCGTTTCGAGTCAACGCAAGCGTCGTACCAACTGTACCAACCGCCGAAGAAACTAAATAGACTCGATATAGCGCCGCTATTCACAAATTCCATGGTGATACTCATCCATGTATTCATAACCCAACGGACTGTGCCCCAAGAGCCACGTCTTTCCTTTCCCCCGAAATATCTATGCACAAGATGATGCTGGAAAGTTCTCGGCCCAAATAAGATCAGAATTTGGCGCGGTTGAGAACAGTTTAGCATTTCACGTACAGGAATATATACACACACACACACACACACACACACAGGGACACACACAATTGTATATCTGTGTGTGTTGGTCTGCGTGTGTGTAAGCAGGGGCATGCGATAGAATGCGTAGCTATTGTCATAGCTAAGCAAAAATAAACGCGCCTCTACGACGTCAAAAGCGTAAACGCCCACTCCCTGCTAAACAGACGCACATTTCTTACCCATCGGTGCGTGAGCGAGACACACACCGAACATTGCAAGGTTAGTTTGTCCTCTCGAACGACAGCAAGTGCGTGCACGCGCACGCATGCATGCACGCACGAGCTGAGGTAGGCATTTTCAAACGACTGCACACATCAGCTTTCAACTATCCGGTATCAAATATTACTTGCCTCATCACGCACGTGTAATTAAAGATTTGTAGTCTTACGAAATTAGCACACGTCAGGTATTCGTCCATCTTCGTAAACTAAACATTTTCGACTTTATTTTTTTATTTATTTATTTTTTTTTTTTTGAGTGCGTGTTTGCGGGGGAGATGAATAATGATTATTTTTTGGTCTCTCTTTTTTCTTAATTTATCGAAATACCAAACTGGAATCTCTTTCTTTCTTTGAAACCTTTAACGGCATTCAAGAATGTTATTTGCTTAGAATGCACATTCTTCCCTTGTTTTTTTTTAAACTTTTTGAATAAATCAATCACTTAACCGAGCTATTTATCTACAGCTGATGTCTATTGATTTCTATGCTTTCATATCTATCAATCGTATCTTGTATCTATCTATTGTTGCCTGTCATTTATATCATATATATATATATATATATATATATATATATATATATATATATATATATATATATATATATATATATATTTTTATGCTCTATAAATTTACATTGAGCAGTGTTTTGTAAAAATAAAAAAATAGCAATAAAAACACCGGATTATATATCTCACTGTTCTTTCTTTTTATATATATATATATATATATATATATATATATATATATATATATATATATATATATATATATTCATATTTTGACGTTAGTATCGATCTATCACAGTCTATTCATATCTATGTCTATATATCTCGGTCATTGTATATCACTGAGTATCTATCTATCTATCTATCTATCTATCTATATATATATATATATATATATATATATATATATATGATAGTCAACAAGTAAATTTGTTTTATCTACGTTCATTTCCCATCCACCCATTACGATATACATGCATATATATATGTGTGTGTGTGTGTATCGTAGTGGGTGGAAGAAGAATATATATATATATATATATATATATATATATATATATATATATATATATATATAGGACTCTTCCGTCATTTTCGACGTATGAGTGTCTTTGAGTTCAGTTTTTTATATTTATGTTTCATATAAGACAACAATCCAGCACGGGATTTGGAAACAAATCCACCTGAAGGACATGCTTAAGGATTGACCGTCATATGGGCTGATGTATTAGCCTGAGATTTAGTGTTAATTCTCTCAGATGGTTGAGACGATTCTTTTCAAAGTTAGTTATACCTCGGTAGCTGGTATTTCTCCAGTTTTCTCGGTTTTCAACCCCTTATATATATTAAAGTACACACACACACACACACACACATATATATATATATATATATATATATATATATATATATATTATATATAATATTTTCGGAAATTATAACATAAATATGTTATAATTTTCGAATAAATGGTATTTGCTCTACTCTATATTGAGCACTATTTTAAGAATAGTAATTTTGGTTATTGGAATTTATTCCATATACACCAATCCTATATATATATATATATATATATATATATATATATATATATATATATATATACTTTAACAATCTACCCCTCGGAATATAATATGATAATCTATTTTTTTAAATAGTTAACTAAATAATTAACTAATATTATACCAACAAAAAATCAGTTTCAAAATAGCCCATTTCCATCGTCACAGTGCTTTAGGCGTCAACTAGGGCGTAAAATGGGGTGGTATTGCATTGAAAAAAGATCTCACAAAAATTTTACATCATTTGAAAGATATATATTTAGTAAGATATCTCTATGCAGGTTACATAATTTTTTAATATACTTCTAAAACCTAAACGATTTAGGAGAATCAATAAAATTGATAAATTTCTTTGTAAATAAATCCGGGGAATCACACACCGATTATTATGAGTTTAAATTGCTTTCTACTTTTTTCCACCTTCAATTCCATTCACCTATCTATCTATCTATCTATCTATCTATCTATCTATGTACCTATATATATATATATATATATATATATATATATATATATATATATATATATATATATATATATATATATATATATATATATATATATATATATATATATATATATATATATAATAGTTCCAGGTTATATAATAGTTAACATTCTTTCTCACTCGGCCTTAAGACTGGATAGTGACTTCTATCCTCACCGATTAATCCATACTTCCTTATCTATCTATCTATCTATCTATCTATCTATCTATCTATCTATCTATCAGTCTGCTGGGATCTATCTATCTCAGTCTGTCTCTCTCTGTCTCTCTCTCCCTCTCTCTCTGTCTCTCTCTATCTATCAGTCTACTGGGATATATCTCAGCCTGTCTGTCTGTCTGTCTGTCTGTCTGTCTCTCTCTCTCTCTCTCTCTATCTATCTATCTATCTATCTATCTATCTATCAGTCTGCTGGGATCTATCTCAGTCTATCTATCTATCTATCTATCTATCTATCACACTATCTTTCCCTTTCGCTCACTCTCTATCTCTTTCTAAATCTCTTTCTTTCTCTTGCTCTCTTTCATCCTCTCTCTCTCTCTCTCTATCTATCTATCTATCTATCTATCTCTCTTGATATATATGCATGCGTACATCGACCCCCCAAATATCATGGGATAGGTATTGATTATCGTGTAGGATACCATCTATCCCTTCAAAATTCTACACATGATCGGTCGAAATACTTCTGTAGAGATGTGTGATTAGGCTCATGTCAGGCGAACACTAATCTTCAAAAGTCTCCAGAATAGTCCTTAAACTAACTCTTGGGCCTGATGCTGTGGCACATTACTGGAATAAGCGATTACTGTTGAGGTGTATATGATCTCTGAATAGACGGAAATTGTCATGAAACAGTGCTATGTAGCGGTCACCGGTCAGGGACGTATTTAGGCGGAACCGAAGCCACAACGAATGCTACGTAAACGCCCTCCCCCCCCCCCTTTGCCACGAAGGAATCCTCACCATTGTTTTTGTGATGTCACCGAACACTCGTTTGACACTTTTGTAATGCCAATGAATACTCGTTGTCACTTTTGTAATGCTCGTTGTAGTAGAGACTTTTTAACCGCAGATACAACTATAGTAACGCCGTTGAACAATACTGGTGTCAGACGCCTTCGAATAGCACTCGCGCTGATAGTACTTGCTCGATAATACTCGCTCGAAAAGTAACATGTATAGTGATCTGAACAGAGAAATAGTATAGTGAATAGAGTAGAGAATAGCGGTTCGTATAGTAAAAGAGGGTAGAGTAAAAATGGCAATCCGTATAGTATAGAGGATAGACTAGAAAGGATGATCAATTAGACACACACGACCTCCTATATATGCGTTTCCTCTATGGTCTTCTAAAATCCTGTTCTTTTATTGATATTTCCGTTAAATTTTTTTTCTCATATTCTTTCATACTCAGTAACCCCTTGCATCTTAGTGGTTTTATTTCTTTTAATGATTAAAAAAAGATGTTTTGTCTATAATATAATCTATTATAATCATGATAAGGATAACATTTTGAATAAACCGAATTTAAAATATTTTGATTGGTTGTGTTTGATTTGTTTAGTTTTACGGTCTATCAACCTCAATGGGTTATTTACTGCCGACAAGATTTTTATTCTGCAGATATGACCATCCCGGAACAAGAAAGGGCATGAAAGAAAATGGTGATAGGCTCTGAGAAATTCGCATTATGATGCTTTAATCTTGGCACGAAATCGTTTTCATTGTAGTTAGTTCTGAATGCTACAGACGAGAATCAAGTCGGTTCGGTTTGGTTTGGTTTGGTTTGGTTTACGGTATGTCAGCCTCAATGGGTTATTTAATGCCGACAAGATTTTTATTGCTGGTAATATTTTTTAAAATGTACAGCTGATATTTTTACTTCCAAAAATCTAATACTGGTAATAATTTTTTCCCCAAAAGTATTGTTGGCAATAATGTATTGCTGGTAATAATTTTTTATAAAAAAATAATTGCTGGTATTACATTCTATTTACACGTTTTGACCCCAGTTTGGGGGTTAACTATTTTTATTTTTCTATTAGGAGGCACGGTGGAGTAATGGATAGCGGCTTAGATTGAGGAATCGGAGAGCCGAGTTCGAATTCCAGTCGAATCCATTACATTCACTTACGTGCTAACACCCTTGGGAAAGGTGTGAATCCTCTTTCTTCTCCCTCCAGCTATGGGTAAATAGCAGGACAGACTGGGTTCTATAGCCTTGGATGGCAACTGGTCTAGGAGAAGGAAAACTCTGAATTCAAACTTGCTCTTAGAGGAGGGTGAATGGAGTCTCTCTAAGCCTTGGTTGGCAATCCATTTAGTGATGGTGTCACGATGAAAACACCCTTGATAGCCCGAGCGAAGCATCAAGAATTCAGCTATTTGACAAGATTATGAACTACACCAATCAAAGTATTGGTGAGTTCAATCTCGGCTGTGGCCGCAAACTACTAACTATTTTCCCATAGCTGGGGCCCTAACAGGTGCTACCACTCCGGGTCAGGGTGAACCTGGGAACAACAGCAATTAAGAAGTGGTTCCATGCTCCTCACAACCTTCTGAACAGAGGCCTTGCTGTCGGATGTAGTTTATCGTCTTACTTCGGACACTGGATGTAGTTTATCGTCATACCCAGGACCGAAAGTATTTTGATTCAAGAATAATCCTGGATAGGAAGAGAAAACTCATTGATTTTACGATAATCCCATCCACTGAGCAGAGACATTTTTTCTCTCTAAATAACAGATCAACATCTGTACTAAGATATGTATTAAGATATGTATTTAAGATATGTATTAAGATATGTGCGTTGTGGTGTAATGGATATCGGAGAGCCGAGTTCAAATCTCCGTCGTGTTCATTTACATTCATTTACGCACAAATAGCCTAGGGAAAGGTATGAACCCATCTCTTCTCCTCCCAGTTATGGGTTAAATAGTAGAACATTGGTTCTTTAGCCTTGGTTGACAACCAGTCTACCGTAGAAAGAAATGTCAACCTAATGCGAGAAAAGTCTTCTACCTCGTCAGTCATGTATCGATAGATAGATGATCGCTTAAGCGTGTATCACCTGTAGCACTGGGTGATTAAGATATTAAGACAAGACATGATTGTGTAATTAATCTTATCAACTGAAACGTCTTAAGTGTAAAAAAAAGAAAAATATATAAAGGCAGAAAATAACCGAAAATTAATACAACCAGGCAATAGACAAAGAGACTATTATCTTATTTGTGAATTGGGTGTTCCATACTTGTGGTCTTCTGGCAGATTGAGCTTAGCTTTCTGTGTGCCTTCATCTTTTTTTGTTACTTTCAGTTGTGTTCTAGTAACATTCAGGGAATTTTGAACTAAACACTATTTAATCTACCGAGGTAAACTGTTCTCCTTCCATTGTCTATATTTCAGGTTATCTTATCTTTGTCATATTTAGTACTAACCGAATTCCCTACGATTGTTGCATGTCATACATTTTTGTAAGAAAATGAGGATTGATTTTAAATCATTGTTATAATTCGATTTGTGGAGATGCGAGCTCCATCTTCTGGCTTTCTCTTATATTTTGAATAGGAGTCATTCCCTTGTTCAAATCTAAATTTAATTCAAATCAAAGGGAAAAAATCTTCAGTGGGAAGTTTGTTCATAAACAGCTTAAGTTGACCCCTTTGATATGTATTTGATGAAATAATTGATTGAATGAATTGATGAGGAGATTTCAACATTGATATGACTGATGAATGTGTATTGTAAGGCACTAAACTGGTGATTGCTGGCTCAGATTGATTTCCATATTGTCCATTTTGATCTTGCCAATGTACACCCTCCATCTTCTGGATTTCTCATTTATTTTGGATAGTAATCATTCCCTTGCTCAAACTTAAAATTAAATTAAATCAAAGGTGGGGAAATCAGGGGGTGGGTTGTGCCCACCGGGGTCCACCTTTGATCAAAATGAAATATACTTATCCAAGTACCCTGGGTAATGTAGTTTCAGAATATACATGGTTATGGGGGTCTATCTCCAAAACCCTAGGAAATGTTCGATAACAAACTACAACTTTATATATATATATATATATATATATATTATCAGCTATTGAGCGCCCTGTTTTCACTAAGTCCTTGGTATCCTACCGAGGAACTGAACACAGACTTATTAAGTTGTTATCTATTCCCGTAGATTAAGTAAAGGATTCAGTTCGAAACTCTCTGAAGGTTATCTGGACCGACAAGCCCCTGATGAAGGCAGAATGCAACGGCTGAGACGTTTTCGATAGCAACAATAAAGATAATGGTTAGAGTATAAACCAAGTTGGTGGAGTAATGGATAGCGGCCCGGACTGAGGAATCAGACAGCCGAGTTCGAATTCCGGTCGGATCCATTACATTCACTTACTTGCTAATACCCTTGGGAATAGTATGAATCCTCTTCTCCTCCCACCTCCAGTTATGGGTAAATACCATAGAAAGAAATGGGGGTCTACTGGGAAAAAATCTGCCTCATCAGTATCGAAAGACACATGATCGCCTAAGCGTGTACAACGCATGGCACATAACTGAGTTATATACTTGCATCATCACTGAAATGGTTATGTACTTCCAACGGTGCTGCAGATTACGTTTCGGGACCAGGTATATGGTTGTATTTCGCTTGTTTTGGAGGTTTTCTCCAGTTGGGAGGATTTTTCTTCCCCCCCCCATGCAATACAATAATTCTATTAAGACGCAAAGGGCTACTAGGTGTGAAAGAGAATGAGAATACTATAAAAGAAAATGAAAGCCCACTCCTAAACAGCAAACAACTACTCCTGTCCAAAAGACCGGGAAGGAGTTGTATTTTTTCTATGTATAGAGGACCTATTTTATTTGAGAGACTGGCGCAACACATTCTTTCAAATCTTGCTTTATATTAATCACGAGAGTGAATGGAATGAAATGTCAAATATCTACACAATATTACAATAATATCTGAGACAAATTTCCCTTATGAAATGTCTTTACTGTTTTAGATTCTTCTTGTATGTGCTGTATGCCTTCAGGGCGCAGGCGATTATGGTCCTCCACAATTTCTTATCCTTTGTAATTCTTAGCAAGGTTAGTCTTTTCAGTATCCCTCTCCAGTCTTTACAAAAAATTATTTTTCCTTGCGTATATACAGGGTGCGATGGATAAATTGTTGTCTAAATTACGCAAAAATAACAGTGACATTTCATTTCAACAGATATATTTACCAACATTACATAACAATATCTTGAAATACTGAAGAGTAAACTTATTCAATAAAAATTACCACTGGCTTCAGCCACGGTCTACAGACGACTTCGGAATCTCCTGCAACTTTTCTGGACGCTCTCCTTGTTTAAGTTGGTGAATGCTACTATAATCTTTGCCTTCAGTTCATCTTTGCTGTTAGGAGTTTGGTGTCTCTCTCAACTGCGACCCACACATAATAATCAAGGGTTTTGCAGTTAGGTGGACAGATATAAGGGGTGATGTGGTAGCAGAAATTGTCTGACAGCCATGACTGGTTCTGCCTGCTTGTGTGACATGATGCAGAATCCAGTTGCCAAAGATAGGGTCTTCCAGCAGAAATCCTCTTGACCCAAGATAGCACTAACTCCTCACGGCACTTGAATAAGGACTCCGTGTTGAGTCTTAGGCCCTGTGGAAATCTAAATGGAGGCATAACGTCGCCATC